CCCAGCTTTATTTTTCTCGACAGGCTCTTACTATTACAATTTATCTGTGTGTACATACAAATGTGCATTTACAAATAACATATTTATGTTTTAACTGTCAAAATCCACACTAGAATGCAAAATCCCTGAGGAAGACACTTCATCTCTTCCTAAACACTGTAAAGCCCAGAACCTAGAACATGACAGTCACTCCACAACTGTTTACTGAACAAATAAGACTATGTACAAGCTACGTAGTTTTAACTGTTTTAACATAAAAATAATGCATTACAAATAATATTTCACTAATATTAGTTTTCAAATCAGATATGCCATCTAATACTCCCCCTAATTTATCCATTTAAAAGTATATTTAAACTTCCTGGGCTATAGCTAAGTAGCAGAGCTTTGCCCAGCATATGTAAGCCCCTGGGTCCAATCCCCACCACTGCAAAAATATACACTACCACCAGCAGCATTACTACTACTAATTAAACTTAATAAGCTTAATTTATTATTATTAAGTATGGCATACTTAATTCATATGGTACAAATTAAATATAAATTTATATGTGCACAAGAAATGCCTTTGTTAATATTGTATTACATTCACATAAAACTAGGGAAAGAAATAAAGAGATACAATCCAGAGACAAAATCTAGAAGAGAATGTGTGTGTGTGTGTGTGTGTGTGTGTGTGTGTGCGTGTGTGTGTATTCTTAAAATAAAATTTGGTAATCATATTTCAAGCTTCCAGAATGAAAGTCATTTTAAAGCGTAATTAAAACTTATGCAGCATCTGAAAAATCCCTTACCAACTACCAGAATCTGTTTCTCCTCAACTTCTTCTATCTCACTAACTGAAGAGGTTCAGTAAGAACCAAGAATCACTCTACCTCACCTAAGTGTGGATGCTACTGCAGTTATATTTTTACTACTTTCATTGTTGTTTAGAAGTTTTAAAGACAGATGTCTTCCTAGAAAAATCTCAAGAAACTTAAAAAATTGATGAAATATAGAGCATGTCAGAGTCCACTCTACATATAATATGGGAAGACAGTACAGGGGAAAATATCAAGTTTCCCTTTATACTTCTCATTCTTCAATTTTATCTACTTAATTGAATGGTCCACTGTAGGCTTTTCATTCTAAGAGTCATATTCCTCATGAGAACAGAGAAGTAATCTCATATACATACACCTGTAGATATGAAGATGAAGTTAAAGATAAATCTAATGGTATCTAGAATTACAAAGCCCATCACTGAACTGCATTTTCAATAGCTACAATTACAGATTTTATATACACACACACACACATGTACATACATGTATATATATATTTTTTTCAAAAGTGTTGGTGAACCAAGGCAGGGCAGATTGACAAATCCACCTTGGAACACAGCACTGATGATCAGAATATTTCTAAACTTCTCGGACGTAAATGTCATTGCTGGTCATCTCCATCTATTTCTTAGAACAAAGCTGATCTTATTTTGGTTGCTGAATTTTAATTAAAGTGTATCATTAATAGGAATAACCAGATAAAACTACAACAATGAGCTGTGAAGTAAAAGAGGATTTTAAATATTTTCCTAGAACTTCTCCAGCTTTCAGATCCCTGTTTGAAAATCAAATTATTTTTGCTTTCTTTTAAATGAACCCAAAGTATTTTTAGATCATTATTATGCATTTATCCCCAAACAGAGTGATATCAATTCAAGAAATGCAACCTACAGGCTGAGCTATCCTCTGCCTCCCCCAGTTCCCTATGGGACAGGCAATGATTCAATGTGAAAACAAAGGAAAATTTTAAAACATCCACATTCCTTAAACGAAGCATGCCCAGAAATATGTCCACCATCCTTTCTTATTGAAGAGAAGATCCAGCAACTTTAACTGAACATGCTCAGAAACATACACCTTAAACTGAGCATGTTCAGGGATGAGCCTCTGCCCCTACCTGGGCTTTCGTGTGTGTGTGTGTGTGTGTGTGTGTGTGTGTGTGTGTGTGTGTGTGTGTGTGTGTGTAGGCTCTCCCCAGTAAAATCACCAGGCTTTCCTTTTTTGGGAGAACAACAATTTGCAAATAACCCCAATGGTCTCCTTATTTGTTGCAAAGAATAAAACT